ATATACAACCGATGGATTATTGATGATGTATAAGTTACTAATAATAATGATATTCACGGATAGATGCCGGCATTACTACATGAGACAATATAATTAGAATAATGATATAAATTAATTCCATTAATGACGTTTCATTACAATCATTATGTTATCTCTGAATATAAGTTTTGATTACACAAACATTAACGTGATATGTCAGACTCGCTGGTCTAACAGTTTAGCACACCGCTTTTTGATAGTCGCGGTTTCGATTCTCCATAGGATGCTATTATTTGTATTTATGAGTATGTTGTTTGCAACTGTTAGTATAGTATAGTGTCGACAAAGAAGATTAGGCACATCATTAACCGCTCGATGATAGCGCAAGTAACATGAACAATTCATACTTGGGTAATGTCAAATATATAACCGATGGATTATTGATGAGGTATAAGTTATTAATAATAATGATATTCACGGATAGATGCCGGCATTAGTACAACATGAGACAACATAATTAGAATAATGATATTTAATTCCATTAATGATGTTTCATTATAATCATTATGTTGACTCGGCTTTATAAATCGGTTTTGTTTATACAAACATGCATATGATATGACGGTGGTCTAGCGGTTTAGGACACCGCTTTATGATAGGCACTGGTTAGATTCCCAGCATGGTGCTATTATTTGTATTTATGAGTATGTTGTTTACAATTGCTAGTATAGTATAGTGTCGACAAAGAAGATTAGGCACATCAATAACCGCTCGAAGATAGCGCAAGTAACATGAACAATTCATACTTGGGTAATGTCAAATATACAACCGATAGATTATTGATGATGTATAAGTTATTAACAATAATGATATTCACGGATAGATGCCGGCATTAGTACAACATGAGAAAACATAATTAGAATAATGATATTTAATTCCATTAATGACGTTTCATTATAATCATTATGTTGACTCGGCTTTATAAATCGGTTTTGTTTATACAAACATGCATATGATATGACGGTGGTCTAGCGGTTTAGGACACCGCTTTATGATAGGCACTGGTTAGATTCCCAGCATGGTGCTATTATTTGTATTTATGAGTATGTTGTTTGCAATTGCCAGTATAGTATAGTGTCGACAAAGAAGATTAGGCACATCAATAACCGCTCGAAGATAGCGCAAGTAACATGAACAATTTATATTTGGGTAATGTCAAATATACAACCGATTGGATGGATTATTGATGATGTGTAAGTTATTAACAATAATGATATTCACGGATAGATGCCGACATTAGTACATGAGACAACATAATTAGAATAATGATATAAATTAATTCCATTAATGACGTTTCATTATAATCATTATGTTGTCTCTGTATGTAAGTCTTGTTTACACAAACATTAACGTCATATGTCAGCCTCGCTGGTTTCACGGTTCAGCACACCGGTTCATGATAGTCGCTGAAACCTACAAAAGATAGACAAAAAACCCGCACGTGTGTCCTGCTAATATTAGATATATTCCATGATACATTTTTGTTTGTGTCACCTCCGCTAACGTTTTCTGGGCATTATCTATATATAAACGTGAGTATTTACAAAAACTTTTCGCCCATTGTGACATATTAACACAATTTATCAGAATGGTTTTTGGAACTGATGAAGGTGCTGCTTTAGAAATTGTCTAGGGTTGTTACTATTATTATATTATGTTCCCCCCTCATAAGATACATTTGGGGAAAAGGGGATTGCTAATAATCTGAATTGTTAACCCCCTTATCGGTCATGTATGCCGAAGGAAAGACAACAGATGGACATACAGATCCTTAATGTGGCGACCTAGGATGGGAAGCAGAAGCGTAGGCAGACCAACTGCCAGATGGTCTGATGATATCAGGAAGACGGCAGGACCGACCTGGACAAGACACGCCACAGACAGACTGAAGTGGAAAATTATGCAAGAGGCATACGTCCAGCAGTGGACAAATATATGCTGAAAGAAGAAGAAAGAAGAACCCCCTTACAATATATTGTCAGGTTCCCCCTGAAAACCATCGAGATTAATTGCTAATGAATTCGTCACGATGGACTAACTGACCTGACCACATGTTCATCTTATCATCCTCTATTGGTGTCTCACCAGCATAAATCGTTAGCGCAGTCGGGTGCACCATACCACTGTCATCCATTAAAAAGGGCTTTTTATCAGATACAAACAGATTTTCAGAGCAGATTCGCTTTTATATTTTATTCGTTTTTTTGACCTTTGCTATTTAAAGGTTGCGTTAGAAATTAGTAATACGTAATAACAAAGATTGTAGCAGTAACTTTGTGTAAATAGAGCTGATGAAAAATTCTGACGGTAGCGTAGGAGTAATTATTAGTCCTACGCGTAATAAACGTTCTAATTAATGCTTATACTATATCGAGGAACCCGATGGTCTAGCAGTTTAACGCACTGCTTTACTTTCGATCGTGGTGGGTTCGTATCCTTGCACAGTACAAATATTTGTATCCATAAGTATATTTGATCGTAGAGGCCTGGGTGTTTTATATGTATTTCCAAAAAAATAAAGAAATTTTATATATTACTAACAGTTGCCTATCTATAACAAGCATACACATTGAGTTTATAAGTATTTTCTTTTCTTTTATTTTCTTTCAATAAAGAGGACAACGGCTATATTATACAATGATTAATATCAACGCAAAAATGTGATATATCTATATTTCTGTTTGCACAAACTTTCATCCCCTATTCCATCCCTATTTCACCCCTATTCAACCCATTCTCGTGATATAATCTATCTATAATCCAATTTCATCAGCGATTCTAATTCATTCAGCCGTTTAATTGTGAATATGTAGCAATCAGAACAAACAGACAGACAGATAGAAATACTTTGGAATTTATATTATTAGTATGAATATTAGCAAAGAAAACTAGTGAAAACTACAGCAATTAATTTAGAGTTGGCTATTGTTGGCTGTGAGTTAAACTTAAGCGTCCTGTGGGAGCCGTTAATCTTGTACTGTCATCGATTTGGTTCATCGGATACAAACACAGGTGTGATATTATTCATGCAACCAATTGCGAACTTTATTTTCAATAATTTAAGAAATAAAATGAGATAATACCTAAATTATATCAAGACGGTGTGCGATATTACTGATGCAATCAATTAAAAACTTTAGTGTCAGTAATTTAAGAAATAAAATAAGATAATAAGTAGTTTATATTATCATAACTGTGTGTGAAATTATTGATGCAATCAATTAAGTACTTTAGGTTGAGTAAATTAAGAAATAAAATAAAACAACATATAAGTACATTATATTATTATAATTGTGTACAATATTATTGATGCAATCAATTAAGAACTTTAGGTTCAGTAAATTAAGAAATAAAATAAGATAATACAATAGCATATTATCATAATTGTCTATGATATTATTGATGCAAGCAATTGAATACTTTAGGTTCAGTAAATTAAGGAATGAAATAAGATAATTAATACATGAAATGTATTATCAAGACTGTGTGTGATGTTATTGATACAATCAATTAAGAACTTTAGTGTCAGTAATTTAAGAAATAAAATAAAACAATACATACATTATATTATCATAACTGTGTGTGATATTATTGATGCAATCAATTAAGATTCAGTAATTTAAGAAATAAAATAAGATACATCAACTATATTATCATAAATGTATATGATGTTGATACAACTAATTAACGACAGTCTGAGGGGGGCCTAAATATTTAGTACACCACTTTATTTCCCATTTACAATAAGAAATATATAAGTATTCTATCAGCTGATACAATACTCAAATATTTTTTAATCAGAGCTTGTGTTATGGGTATTAGTCAACTGTCTAATATCCACAACACAAGCTTTGATTAGCTTGGAACTAGATAGCGATGTGTGAATTCTACAGTATTTAAAAAAATAGCAAACTGTATGTAAAAGTTAAGTCTCAGTAAATTAAGAAATAAAATAAGTTAATACATACATTATATAATCAAGACTGTCTATGCTAGGTTTTAGTGATTGTAATATTATGGTAAATGGGTAAACGTCTAGATACCTAGCCTACCTACCTATATGAACAGCACCATGAACATCGCATGATCATCGGAAGCCTATATACCAGTCATGCGTCGTAATGGAATAGCCCTAGTATCCAGTAATTTTATTACCTTATCCTTTCGGCCGAAACAGTTTACAAACCAATCTGCATGATGATTGAAATAGGGGAAACCTACTAGGTACTAGAAAGTATATCTCGTTCGGTGTGAAGTTCAGATGATCACGCTTTAGTCCTTTAATTTAATTCAATGTAGCAGAATAAGAACTTATTATCTACGTATAACAATTTATATAATCAATAGGTAATTTAAATCGGTTATTTGTCTACAAAAATATCACGGAGCACTAATAAAAAATTTACCATAAAAAAAAAATAAAAAAATCAATGATATCTACGTAGAATATTTTATAATTTAACATAATAATATATTTGAATTTAAACCTTCTTTCCTTTTTAATTCGATTCAAAATATAATAACAGTTTTTGGCAAATTTTACTTTCATCCTTTACCATGGAGAGAATGTACATTAAAAAAAAATCACTACAAATTAAATTATTTACTCTCTTATATAAGTATTAAAATATTGTTATTGGTTACAAAAACAACGAGAAGGAATGGCAAAATCCTAATGGATATTTTCTTTTTAATATTACGTAATTTTAAACACAAATTACCTTTTAATGATTTGTGTTTTATTTTAATTGATTAATAAAGGACCTAATAAATATACTATGGTAAACACAATATCAAAGTACTGTAAATAAATAATTTTTGAGGACAATTAGGTAGTATTAGGTCATATCATTTAGTCTTCTACCCTCACAAATATAATTACACCTTTTTAATTTATGCATAGTTATTATTATAAGACCATACATGCAAATGGAATTCTTAAAAGCGTCAAAATTACTCACATTGCGACAAACGGCTCCCTTGGGAGGGAAAACTAGTGACTCGTGAAAAATGTATGCAGTTTCACCCACACAAACATCACATACATAACGTAATTTAATGTTGTACACAGAAATATAACAATACACAACACAGTTCTAACAATATAGGCCGTACACAACACAGATGGTTCTATTTTCAAAAATGTACGCGCGTACGTTGTTTCGTACAAGAAAATGCGTTAGACCGCGACCCGTCGACGATCGGGACACACTGAAACGAGTAGACCCGGCTGTCTATCCGGCTCTTGCCGTCTCTGTCACACTTGAGGGGTGGTTGTGCGGTAGGATTGTGCGTCTCGCTCGCACAGCCCGAAAGGGAGCGTGGTGAGAGTACTCGTAATACGTATAGGTCAATATGAAACCTTCTCGGGTGCTGGAGGCTGCAGTTAGGGTAACCGTGCTTGGTTGGTTTTTCCTTAAACGTGTCACACGCGACATATAAACCTGAAGTGTTTCTACTTTACAGTTTGAAAAAGAAACAAATCATTTTAATGTATAATTAAAATGAAAATTGTTTATAAAAATATTAGAGAGTTCGTTTCTACTCGGGAAAGCTGTGTTTAGAGCAGAGCCGCAGTATTCTGTCCCACTTATATTCTACAATACAGTTATGTGGTGGACTATAATGCATTTAGAAATAGGTTTCCCAATACAAGGCTCTACATGCCATGTCAGTGTTTCGCCCCTTAGGGTCTTTGAGTTGAGGTCCAAGTAACTAATCGTGTCTGATGATGGTCTTGTACTAAGATATAAATATTGTATATTTCGGGTATTTATAGAAATGTTTCCATAAATATGAGATTTTATAATTTACAATTTTATAGCATATGGTAGGTAGTTAGAATATGTATTCTACAGCATCCCATAGAATTAAAAACCGCATTAATTCATCAACAATTCATATTTATTGTAATCTATTGAGTATTAATTACATCATACGAGTACATTCCTTCGAGAGTTCCCATCTCGTCCCCTATCCCATTTCAATGGTCATCGAAATTACGACGGCCTGAGCTAAGATTTGAACCCCTAGAGGATTCCTTAGACTAAAATCGTATTTAAGGAACAGTTGATCTTCACTGCCGATGTCCTTCGGTGGTTTAGAGTGCCCCCTGCATTCGTCTTATTGGAGTGCCACCTGCGTGGAGCACAGCTTTAAAATGGTTAGATATTTTCATTGACTTTGAATATAATAAGAACATTCCTGGACAATTCATACAGCGCCATCTAGTCTTGCGCCAAGCAGAAGCTCTACTTAGTATGTTATGGGTACTAGACAAGTAATATAGATACATTTTTGTACATATAAAACACCTAGACGAATACAAACAATCATATTCATGAATACAAATATTTGTACCGTGCGAGGAATTGAAGCCGCAGATATCGGAAGTATGCTAGACCACCGAGGCCGAAAATAAAAAACTTTAGTTGAATCGTAACCGTAAACAATATCATATGAATTCTTGTCTTTATCGATACCTATTGTTTTACTAGCAATTGGCAGCGAACTAATCAAAAAAGTTTTATCCTTAAAACATGGCCGCCCTACATAACTCGCGTAGAGCCGCTACTCGACGCATGCGCACCGCAGACTTTGCCTCTCTGAGGCACGATATAGTACACACCCCGAAAATTAATTATTCGAAACTGTACCGACCAGTTACACAATTGATACACATTATTCATACCATCCCATTGATTGGTTGACTGAAGACACCGGATCCTCTAAATTGGGCTATCTCATTAAATATATTGACTTTGAACCGACTTTCGTAGGCAAGAGGTTCTAAATTTCATTGTACGTACATATCGTATCAACAGCTAAAGAGATTGATGGAAAATCTTGAAAAATAGCATGAGCTCCGCCGACAAAAACGCGGATATTAAATTATGAATGGATGAATACATATCGTTATGCCTATCACTTATTGGGGTAGGCAGAATCAACTAGGAATGTCAAATGTCAAATAGATACATACCTCTTATCAACATTCAACATATACACATGTTTTCCGGGTGCGGGTACTTATTATTTGGCCTTTAACTATAGATTATTGGCTACCCGTTTTATCTTTATATATAAAAATTATGTGTCACGTTGTTTGTCCGCGATGGACTTTTAAACTACTGAACCGATTGCAAATTTTGATGAATACATTGTATGCAATTTAATTGAACTTGAAAGATAGGATAGCTTACATCTCAATTTATAGTCGCAATATTATTTTATTCAAGAATCTAAGCTACAGCAACGCATGGCTAAGTCTGCTAGTTGTAATATATATTTCCTTGCCTGTCGCCTTTTAGGACAGGCAGAAAGTAATGTTAAATAGACCAATTCATAAATCTCTCTTTTGCTTTCTCTACATTGAACATCGCGGCATGTTTGCTGATTGCGGGTACTTATTATTTAGCCCTATTGAGACTGCATATTATTTACTAGTGGCCTATCCCGGATTCGCCAATGTCTTAATAGCTTTGTAAGTTTCGTTTATCGTCATTACATAGTATAAAATAAAGTCGCTGTCAGTCCGTCCCTATGTAAGCTTAATTCTCTAAAACTACACAACGGATTTTGAAGCGGTTTTATTTAGTAGATAGAGTGATTCAAGAGGAAGGTTCACATATATAATACATGTAGACCCGTGCGAAACCGGGGTGAGCAGCTAGTATTAACATAAAATATAGCACATGTCACTCTACAATAATAAACCTTTAAAACAGTCAAAGATTTTCTCATATATATGTAAAATGTTCTAGAGTTTTTCCTAACAATATCCACTTTCGGTCTTTATAATATTAGTATAAATATATTTTTAACAATATCTTGTACATATTACTTATATGATAGTTTTTATTGATTTAATCTTTTTTGGTTCTATACTTTATTTGTTTTATAATTTAGCAATGTCACATTTGTGTCTATATTCTGTGCAAGGCAGGCAGAAATAACCAATTAATAATGGTGAATTTGAATATATTAATATTGTTACAGTTAAAATTAACTTCCTTTTTTAGTGAACAATAATGGTGAATATTCTGAAAAAATAAATAAATTAATTGTACCACTTCATTTTTATATTCCGAATCAAACTACTGAATCGATTTAAATGAAATTTGGTACGTAGATAGTCTAGACTCTGAGAAAGGATATACTTTTTAATGCGAAAAAAGGGTTGTAAGGGGTTGAAATTGGGGATGAAAAATTGTATGGAAGAACCGTCATTTTTGAAGCTAGAAGCCTGAATTTATTTTAGCCTATTATATATATATATATATATATATATATATATATATGTATATTTTATAAGGGGATTGAAAGAGTTATGTATGGAAGTGTCGTCATTTTTGAAACAAAAAGGATGAAACTTTTTCATTTGGATTTTATTGAGTTAGGTCATTAAATATTTTTTTCATAATTCGTCCGCGTAAAATAGAGACTATGACGTCACTATTTTACGCGGATAAAGTCGCGGGTACAGCTAGTAATAATATATATACATAAAAGTTTTTACCTGTTCATTAAAATTTTTCCAATTTTCTACAGATCTTTAATTATTGAAATATAAACATGTATAACTTTTAACTTATGTACACATCAGTATACATAAAAATAGTCCAAAGAAAGTAATTATAGTTGTAATGATTTCAATAAACATTCTAAATATAAAATTCTCCTAAGTTTTCACTTGCGTCTTATCTTTACATATGTGAGCTTACACATGTATTCTACGAGCACACATGTATACACTCTTATGTACGCCTTAAAATCAAACGAAATAGGCAATTAACATTGATCGTAAACAGAGACGGTGCTAGAGACGAGTGTAAAACGATCTGATTTTCCGACGTATGTGATACGATACGAGTTTAATTTGCTGTAGAAAAAACACATGTCAGTAAATGTTATTTAATGTACATTTACTTGTATTTAGAATTTCAGACGAACGATGGATTATTTCAAGGGATATTTTTGAACACCTATCAAGCTATTTAAAAAAAGAATTGGCAATCAAATCTTTTATATTTAGCATTTATATTTTTCACAAGAATAAATTTCATTTATAGGTTCACTTTGTAATGAATATTTAAAAATGGAATATAATGGAATTGCGAGCATCTACAAGATGCTTAGAAATTATATCGAAGAATTGCGACTTTGAAGTGGCAATGGGCAGGGCACATAGCTCGTAGGACAGATGGCCGTTGGGGCAGTAAAGTTCTCGAGTGGCGACCACGGACCGGAAGACGCAGCGTGGGAAGGCCTCCAGCAAGGTGGACCGACGATCTGGTCAAGATCGCTGGAAGGCATTGGATGCGAGCAGCGCAGGACCGATCGTCGTGGAGATCTTTGGGGGAGGCCTATGTCCAGCAGTGGACGTCTTCCGGGCTGCGATGATACAATGGTTGTGAATTGAAATCTGCCCAAGAGCAATAAACAATTAGTGTTAAATAATTACGTATATATATAAATAATAACATTTTTTTATAGCATAAACGAGCTTGAGGCTCACCTGGTAAGTGATTACCACCGCCCATGAACACCCATAACACTATGGTAATTGTAAGCGCGTTGCCGGACCTTTAAAATGGAATAAGCATTTTGTTGCGGGTTAATAATGCTATGTTGTTGGTTGAGACAATGTATATTATAGATGATAATTGACTGACCATATGTACATAAAAATATTGATCTTAGATACTAAACGACAATAGGAAAATGTAAGGTGCGGTGACACAGTTTAGACACGGCAGTGCTTAATAAACAATATTGGATTTGTCTCACTTGCCATTATTAAATGTAATTATTATTTTGATGTATCTAGGTAACTGTGTCCTATATATTTCTTGAAGTTCAAAATCGTTTACGCCTTTTTAAATATCGACCACATGACTTTTTGTTTCAGTACAATGGCGACCACATGATGGAAAGTATTAACTGTTGTCTGTATATGAAACATTATTTATAACAATACGGTTTTATCACTATTTTCAATATTAGCAATACATAGACAGTCTCAATGATTTAGCACGCCGCTTTACTTCCAATTGTCGCGAATTTGATTCCTCGCACACTACAAACTTTTATATTCATGAATATGATAGTTCATATCGGTCAGGGTGTTTTCTATGTATATTATGTATTTATAGAAATAATTGTATCAG